TGGTTAGAGGACAAGTATAGGTTTGGTCGTCGTGTTTCAAACTTATGGCGAACGCCCCCCGTCGGCAGGAAAATGAAGCCGTTGCTACTTAGTTTACAGATTAAATTTTCAATACACGAGTACCCAAGTACCCCTTACATTCTCTGGAGCAATAAAAACGATTCCGTAAAATAATTCACGTCACAAAAATTCCACGTCGCTGCTTCGCAGAAGGGCACGAAGTCTACATACAAAATCCGAAAGCTTGCCACTGTGCTGTGCGCTTTCGGCTCGCTCCTGCATCGAAATCTCTATCCTACCACCTGCCTGCGATGTAAATCTTGAGGGCCCAGCCCGCAGGTCGCCTAGGCGATAATTAGTGGGCCACCTATAGGGCATCTTATCTAGTCTTCCAGTTCTCTATCTCATCCCTCGGGGTGCTAGTCCCGTGCGGATGAGCCGTCGCTTTGCAGAGTGCAGGGAAACCAGAAGGACTGAAACCAGACTAGTAGGTGGCCGACTCACGTCGGCCGAATTCCTGGGTCAGGCGACGTAAGTTGCCCGAAAGCCCAGATTTACAATATACCTCCTCAAATGATGCGCCCACACTCCACTCCATCCCGTCAGTTTTATTTCGTTCTAAACCCCTCCGTCCCGTCGTCATCGCCGTCCTTGTCCTGGCGCCACGTCGTCCTGCCTGCCGCTCGCGTGTCCTGCGCCGGGTCCTGGAGCGCCGAGGAAGTTTTGCACAAGCTGCGCGCCCGCCTTCCCTCCCCAAGCCTTGCTGCAACAGGGGCGCGGGCGGGCGGGGGCCGGGCGGGGCCAAACTGTAGGGAACCAACAACTCCACTCATCCTCGTGTGTGCGTGTTCGTGTGTGTGAATTTGCGAGTGTGTAGTATGTCTTTCCTCCCCTGCTGTTCACCCACTTTCGGCGGAGATGGCGTTGCCGTTCTTATTAAGTTGGCGCGGCGGGAAGGCGGCGGTGAGCGGCAGAATGTATCCCGGGGGATGACCAAACTGCCACTCTGCGCTGGGACTTGCGCTGCGAGCATGAGGATCAGGATGCACTGCTGCTTCAGTGCAACGGCCATCCAGGAACACGTCGTTACTCTTACTTCGACCGCCTGTCAGCGACATCCTCTTACATGCATCTCTCTCTCCCTCTCTCTTTCTAGTTATACAGAGAGTCTTGGAAAACGTTAGGAAAGTAGCAGGGGAATCCAGCTCTTTCGGTCTCCCTTTTAAAACTAATGTGCAAAATCGCGCCATATTTGGATGACATTTGAATCTTCTAGAATGGCGAACCCGATATGCGTTGAATAAATTTATCTTTCTTTTTAAAAAAGCGGATGCTCAATCTGTGAGACATATTAGGACTGAGGTGGGAAGCGCTGGCTGCCGCGTTCCTATTACCTACCCTATCTGCACACAAACCCTATAAAAAAAAATTGACTGCATGCACAAATTGTGAAGTGGCGGCAGCAACAGTAGCCTAAGTGGCGGAGAGCGAGCGAGCAACCGTTTGCGGCGCTGATGTCGAGGCTGATGTAATGAGATCACATCTGCGGGCGATTGCACTCGGCATGTGTAGTGGTTAGGTACATTAGGGTGGTGGACTCCGGCCCTGCCCTGCCCTGCGCAATTCCCGGATTCTACCCCATGCCCCCTCCTACCCGCTCGTCCCGTCCAACCCCCCCTCAAGACGCCTGGCTGCTGCTTGCAGTCTTTGTACCCTTTTAAACCCTCGAGCGTGACAGTCTGTCACCGCGTGCGTCGCGGTGCGCATGTCGTTGAGTCATAACACGTCTGTTTACCCAATCAGAGCCGCTCTAGGCGCGCCGTGGCGTGGCTTGGCGTGGCCTGGCGCTGCGCGAGCACTTTGCAGAGCAATCGTCGCGTCCATCTGGGCTGGGCCGCGGTGTCGCAACCGCCGGCCACACACACGCAGACGCACACACACACACTCGCCTGCGCTCATACATGCACACACATACGTACTCACGTACACACGCACACATCATCATCATCATCATAATCTTGGCCGCCAAATCGCTCCAATTTCGCTCGCATTCCCAGCATATGTATTAATGATGGCATGTCACTATGGTCTGTGTGCGACGACGAACACGGCCCGGATGAATGGCGTGTCGCAGAGCTCGTGGCTGGTTGTAATTGCAAGACTGTACGTCGGTGTCTGCCGCCGCCGTGCCTTGTTGCTGCGGGACAAGGGGGAATGAACTGCGTACAAGAATGTTCTGTTGGGTCGTACAGTCGTTTATTATTTCTTAGCTTTGTTTCGTTGCCTTACACATTAATGGTAACAATTTGTTTGGATTTTTTTTTTAAATTCCTAAGTCGTTTGACGAGTGCCTCTAAGTCATATATATTCAGTTCGCGACAGAGACACCCCAGGTGCGCCGGCGCAAAGGGTTGAGCAAATGGACCATGAGTCAGATGTCATGCCGTTAAAACACCCGTACAATATGTCCCCTCTCCTCTCCTCGTAAAGCTCGTAGTCAACATAACAACATAATATATACCTATGCCCTCTCGGCCCGCTAAGCGTGACTGCCTAGTGGTCAAGAGTTAACTCAGATGACGTATGTTGGACTGGGGTAGTGAGATCGCTTGTGAGTCCCCAGGAGGCCGTTGACATAGCCTATGCCCAGGGGTGGTGCTCCTCGTGGTGCTGGTGGTGCTCCTCGTGCTTGACGTGCACGGGCACGGGCACCTCCTTCACTACCTTGACGGGGTAGGGCTGTGGTACGGGCACCTTGACCTGCACCTCGACGGGGTACGGAACCACTTTCTCGACCGGGTAGGGGACGGTCTTCTCGACGTGGTAGGGCACGGGCTTCTCGACGTGGACGGGCACTGGCCTGTCTACGTGCACCTTGACGGGGTAGGGGATCTTCTTCTCGACCGGGTAAGGGACGATCTTCTCCACCTTGACGGGGTATGGCCTGGGAACTTCGACGGGGACCTTGACGGGGTACGGGACGATCTTCTCGACGGGCACGGGGACATTCTTGGTTACGTAGACAGGGTAGGGCTTCTCAACGGGAACGGCACGGGGAACATCATAGGGGACCTTGACGGGGTAGGGGATCTTCTTCTCGACGTGCACGGGGTAGGGAGCTGGCACGGGCACCTTAACGGGGTAGGGCACCTGCTTGATGTGGTGGACGGGGTAGGGCTTGGGGACGTGGATGGCACGGGGCACGTCGTAGGGCACCTTCACGGGGACAGGAACATTTTTGACGTGGTGGACTGGGTAGGGTACTTTCTTGGTGACGACCTTGGTGATGAGCTTCTCGTGATGTTCCTCGACGTGTTCCTGGGGCTCGGGGTGGTGGTGGTATCCGTGCAGCTCGTGACCGCCGAGCTCCTCGTGGCCCCCGAAAGAGATGTCGCTGTAGCTGCTGCTGCCACCAAGGTCGTGGCCGCCCAGGTCACCGCCGTACGAGCTCTCGCCGTACGAGCCCAGGGAGTGCTCCAGCCCGCGCTTCTCCTGCTTCTTGTCCTCGCTGGCCACAGCCGCGGTGTCGGCGGCTGGCTTGGCGTCCTTCTCGGCGGCCGGCTCCACTGCCTTGGTCTCGGCGGGCTTGGACTCCTCCGCGGACACGGCTGCCGCCAGCAGCAGAACCGCCAACGCAAACTGAAACAGAGGCAGTGTATGAGGGGCCTGCGAGGTCCTTCACCCGGCCACCGCGCCCCGCCGCGCCCATCGCGGGTCGCCCTTGGCCCAACTAGCGCGGGTCTTGCCCCCCCCCCCTCCTTCTCCAGAGCCCGTTGGAGGGAGCAGTGCCCTCACCGCAGTGCGACGTGCGCGCCCGCTCGGATGTCCCGGTAGCCTACTGGCCCCACCACGCCCCACCCCACCCTGGCCGCGGGCCGCGGGGTGGCGGTGGTGGGGCGCAGGCGTGCAAGTTGCAACGACCGCTTGCCAAAGCGCCGGCCGGGCGGCATGAATGGCGAAACCGCACTGCATTACTTTACTACAACTACACTACTGGCCATCAATCACACCGGAGTAGCCAGCCGGGCCGGGCCGAGCGGCGCGGGCCAAGGTCGCGGGGGTGTGGGACACTCGCGGCGAGCGAGCGCGCGCGACCGTGCAGGGGCTGGCGGCGACACGGCTTTAGGGGGTAGCGATTTAGTATGGGTTCTTCAAAGGATTCCACGGTAAATGCACCCCAGGGGTAAAAATATCATGGCGGTCCTAGCGACTCCTCTGGCCTTCCTGATCCTTCTGGGACCCCGTAATAATTGCACCCCGGGGTACAAATATCATAGGGGCCCCTATCGACTCTGACGATCACCCAGATTCTTTTGCGACCCCATATCATATTTTGATCTCCCTCCACCGAAAGTGTTTTGGGCGCTAGCGAACCTCCTTATCTCGTCTGTTGCTCTGAGCTCCTGGACTGGACCGCGCGGGGTGTTGTCACAGCGGTGTCACTCTCGGCCAGGATGGCCGCGCGCGTGCGCGCGTGTGTGTGTTGCCACTGCTCCCGCGCGCGCTGTTTCGAAATGCGCGCGCCGGCTGTGCACTGCACTTGCTGCACGTACGGTAACGATCCGAACCGCGAGATTAAGAAACAAAGTCGAACGGGAGCAGTACAGCACCGGCGCCGCTGGGGCCCCCCTGGCGC